AACATGTTTCATTTCTTGATTTCTACCACAAGTTGGCCATGGGTATTCTTTGATTAAAAAGTAGCTCCACCTGGCAGTCAGTCAATGGTCATTTACTCAAAAATATATAGTCAGCCAGTCATTCCATATCAATTTCAGTCAGGCAGTTGGTCAAAGCCACCCAGTCAGACTTCCAATCCACAGTCATTCAGTTAATTCATCATTCATTAAGTCAGTCAGTGAGTTATTCAGTCATTTCATCGTACATTAGGTCAGTTACTCAGTCATTTGGTCATTTCATCATACATTAAGTTAGTCAGTAAGTTATTCAGTCATTTCATCATGCATTAAGTCAGTCAGTAAGTTGGTCAGTCATTCAATCATTTCATCATACATTAAGTCAATCAGTAAGTTATTCAATAATTTCATCATACATTAAATCAGTCAGTAAGTTATTCAGTCATTCAAAATGTGGTAGGAATATCAGTGACACTCTCAGGTGCACCTTGCATGTCACTCTTTTGTTCTTACCATATTTTGACATCATCTGTGATCTATAACAGAACAGACCCACACACCCATAGAATCTATTTGTTAAATACCCATCACATCATACCTAAAGTAGTCAGTTAGTAATTATTTAATTCAATCATTCAATCAAACTATCAGTAAAACAGTCATTCATTCAATCATACTGTTTGTAATTCAGTCAAACAACCAGTAACTTTGTTATGTCAGATTTATTGAATTTAAACATGGTGGGCTTATTTGTGTGTTTTCGTTTATGATTTCGCAAGTGTGTAGTGTTCAAATATGGCGGATAATTTCTTTAAATATTGACAAATTTATGACTCGTGTAATAGTACTTTCAGAGCTTATCTAAAATAGATCACTGATAATCTTAACTAACTGTATACACAGCATTAAACTAAATGTTATAAAAATGTGTAAACCTTACCGAGTTAGACGGGCACAATTAAGTCTTTCTGGTTGAGGTCATCCAGACTCATCGTTGGTGGAGGTTGGTGCACTGGTATACTAAGCGTTTTTCAATTCAACCTTAAAGTAATGTAATCTAAGGTTAAACACAAACGAAGAAGTATTTTGGGGCGCTAAAAGTAAATAGCAAACCTCAGAAAAAGTAGTAATTCGGTTGAAGAATTTCCATTTGGCATCACATGGCCGCCGCAGTCAAAACTTGCAAAGAGTTATGGGAATTGCGAAATTCATGAGCCATTTCCGTCTTTGATGAGTTCGAGAGAGGGTGGATGGTTAAGCAACTTCCACATTGAGCCGAAAAAATTAAATCCAATGGGGGGAGGTATTGGTATAAAAGCAGGAAAGGCAGAGAGAAATTTCTTAGCCTAGACCCCCTAATTTGCTGTTGCATCAAGACAAAACTCTGAAGCTCGTAACTTAGTCTTTTTTCGTCACCTATTGGCCGACCAGAGTAATAAAAATTGAAAACGCGAGAAGTTGGTTCTGCATCATGTCTGGGTAACATAGGCAATGCCGTGCACAGGGAAGTTCAGTTGATACCAAAAAGGTACTCAACAAAACACACGAAGTTATCTAGTCTAGAGACCCAGGAGGATCTAAAAGGGAACACGAAACGACCTGCAAAAAAGCCGTTGCCTGTTTTTTTGAGATTGGTTATTCAATCTTCCCATAGACAGCTGGATACTTACTGTTTAATTTCTTTATAACCATTTATAGAAACATTGAAACACCATTTTTGTCTTGCAAAGAATGGGTAACTTCGGTGAGCTTATTTTGGAAACAGACTACCTCGTAAGGCTTGCAAACTCCTCCTTTTTTCATTTTTTTTAACATCTGCCATACCTTCTTGCCCTCGAGATTTTTGATTGGCTGTTTAATGACTTTGACTTTGGTTTAACAAGTCTCAAATGCACCATTAGTGCCCTGTCATATGGAAAACTTACAGAACACATAGTGATTTAAACATCTGTTTGGTTTTCTCCGTATAAATTAACTGAACTCCTTGTTCCTCACTCTGGTGGATATCAAACCTTAGCTGAGGTTGGGTTTTTTGGCCTGAAGCTTGGGTACTACTCAAACAGTCACTTCTCTTTAAAAAACAAAAAAAGAAAAAACACGCTTAGCCACCGCGCCTTTCGATTGACGTCTTCGCTTCCTTTGTATTTCAAAATGAGGCAACCATTACCGGTAGATCTGTCTACTTTATTTCATTGGTTTGCATTGATGGTTTCTTAAACCTAAATTATTCATTGGTTTGATGATTTCTTAAGTTTACATTGTACGTTTACTATCTAGTTTAAATCAGAAATACAAAAATTGTAAAAAAGCTAACTAATCTGGTACTAATTGAATACAATTGAAGACCTACGAATTCCTACTGATAAAAAAATACAAGTATTCATTTCATTGTGGGGATTATCTATAGTGGTTGAATTGTTCTGGTGAAACAAACAGGCGAGTCAGGAAACGAATGTAGTATGATATATGTTCTTGAGGATGATACACTGGTTTAGAAATAACCCAGCAAGCGAAGTCCCAGCTTCACAGTGCATCCAAGCATGGTGAAGAAACCCAAGTAACCAAAGCTACCACGCAAGCGCTTCTCGGGATCTGAAATAAAACACAACAAGGTTAACAAGATCCCACAACTGGAACAAAGGAATAAAGGCACCCTATTCCATTTACATTCATTGTAAGAAATAATTACAATTTTCAATCATTTTCACATTTGTCCTTTTCTGCAATGTATAGTAATGAGGCATTAGAGTATTTCCATGTTTCATTGCATTTCCTGTCACTCTCATATCGCTTCACAACTCCATTTAAAATATTTTGGGAAGCAAATGTGGCTCCAGGATTAAGGAAGGGAAATCCACTTATCCATGAACATACAGCCCATTAATTTGACTAGATATACCATGATAACTTCTTTGCCACTGATTTCTTCAAGGATTGCCATTTTCAGTACACCAGTGCTGCAAGTTAGAAATTTAACATTACAAGAACGTATTACTTGCCTCCAGTGTAGTATCCATGGGCATAGAAGAATCTACTAACAATCCAGACAAGTCCTGCTGCAGAAGTTAACACCTACAAAAATAACAAATAACGAAATTAGAGCATGGTTGCATTATTTCAAAGAATGTACCAGTATTTTTTGTTTTGCTGGTGACATTTTCTGTTTATGTTATATCATTCATAGACAAACAGTGATAAAAGGGTATGCTACCCATATCAGATGGTAACTAAACAAGTATTTTTAATTTAAATATATATTTTTATTCCAATTCATAGTAGAAAAAAAAATTGCATTTACTGGGTCCTTCAACTTTAATCTGGACTACCCCTGTCAATTTACCCTACCAAATATTTCATTCTAGTGTTCCCGAACAAATAATGATTTCTAAACTTACGGGATGTTCCAATCCTCCAAGCAACAGAAAAAGCAAGAACTGGGGATAAACTTCAACCCTAGAGTAAAGAATGAAATGAAATGATTTAAAGTGTAAAATTTGTTTTAAAATCTCTAGGTATGTGTTCTGAATAACCAAGGCAATTTCCTAGTGTTACACTGCACTGCACATCCTGCAATGCACTGCACAAATGGGGCCTGATATTCAAAACTGAATTGAAATAAATAAATGACAAGTGCAAGAGAACAAATAATAATTCATCAAACATCTCTTAATTAAGAATCACCTTCCAGTGAACAACTGTACAGCATGTAAAACTTTCTTAATGGATTTTTGGAATTGTTATTTTGAACTATGTGGACAAAAATGCATGATACAAGAGAAAGTTGCAGCAGTAATAGCAGTTTTAATAATGGTAATAGGACCAAGTGGAGTCCACTTCTGTCTATAATCATACAAGTCATTAACAAAATCAGACAACTGCAAAGTGGGAGTCCAATTTGTCAATCATGAGTATGATTACAGACAGAATTGGGTGACACAAAATCCTGTTACCAATTAATCATAACCATTACAAAAAAACAAACAAATACACTTAGGACAAACATATTGGGTAGAGGAAATGTGTAAAGTTAAAAATTCCTCCATTTTGGAACTTCCCCCAGTTTGTTTGTTTGTTGTTTTTTTTTCAGGATAAGTGATTGTTTCTATGGTTATTGTGATCAATTCTGTGATTGGTAGATTTAGCTGAGAGGACTTAGTATGAGAGGCTGCTTCATATGTCCAATTTCAGGTGTCCAATCACAGCCAACTATCCAATTACACTGACCAATTACAACTGTACAGAATGATAAGTGAAAAATAAAGCAGCTAATACACCAAACGCATTTGAAGAAATTGTAATGGCTATGATAAGTATGCATATAAGTGTATTTGGAGAAAAGTGTGCAAAAGGAAATCTTCACTACTGGCGCAAATTATGCTTAACATGGGAAGAAACAATCAAGTGTTCAGATGATCAAAAAAATTATGACTCATTTTGAAAGGCAGATTTTCTGAGTTATTGCACAACCAGCCAGACAAGCCATTTAATTTTTTCCTTCTAATTGCCAGTCTAAACTCCTTGACACAGCATGTTGACCAATCTATGGAGTGTCCTATAGGGTGACAGATAGCTCTGCATAGGTCATAAATACCTTGAAAATTTATGATGATGAGACAATGGGGAAATTTTGTCACCCATTTTGCCTAGGTTTAAAATGTTTCAAACTAATTGAATTTTCATTTTTCATTATCTTAAATCCATCATTAAATCACAAAACAGAGAAAAATATAAAATCAAACTATTTTGAAAAAGTTCCACGCAGGAAAAAATTTTAACCAAAGCATATTTTACAAGAGCACTCTCATTCTCATTCAAGTAG